TATAGGTTACTGGTCTCATTTCTATTTGAGTCTGACACCACTTTTCTAGAAAAGGCATATCACAAAATTATTTTGAACAGTCCACAGTATTTAGTCAGCATAGTCCTAGACAAGCATTAGCTTGAACAGAACAGAACAGAACGGCCAGTACCTACACACAATACACATACATGCAGACAAGATTTTTCTGCCTCTGAAATATCATTATCTGTATATGCATCAGCACTACCTTCCTGACCTTCCAAGTCCATGGCATCATGACAATGCCTTTCTCTCCTTGACTTGACACATCAAAAGCTGACTCTTAAGGCATTTTCCTCTCAAGCTGTAGATGGTACTTAAGAGCAAAACAGGCAAGCCCAGCCAACTCTTCACACAGCCAAAGCCTGCTTCCATTAGACAGCTCCTAGCAGCTACAGAACTCTCTCTACTCCAATGACTTCCAAACAGTAAATATAGAGCCAGTCACTATCATCTTTAATGTTAGTGCCTTCTAAGATCATCTCCAATTTATCTTGTGTACATTAAACTGTGAGCTCCTTGAGAGCAGGAAATGAGTTGTTTTTTTTGGGGGGGGGGGAGTTGGAGTGGACTTTTCCCCTCCTTCCTTTATAGCCCCAACACTTAGCACAGTTATTGTTCAGTCATTTTTCAGTCGTGTCTGACTCTTCGTGACCCCTTTTGGGATTTTCTTGGCAAAGATACTGGAGTAGTTGATTGACTTGACTGGTCTCAGTCAGCTCTCATCCAACTCTACCTGAAGTGACCCCTCTCCTTATTGCACTCTGCTCTATTAATTTCAAGCAGCCAGGGCACTCCCCACTCTTTCTGTCTCCTTTCCTTCTCTCTTCACATGGTGGCCACATCTTCCCTGTGGCTTCCATTGATCTGGCTTCTAATGCTTCAAATCAGGGCCTCTTTATATGTAGTGATCAGTCTCTATGGATGAAAATCTCCAAACCCACATGTCTGTCAGGTATAACATAAATAATTATTATGCAGTAATCCCCAAACAGTTATATTATCTATATTTTCCTCAGTTATAACCTTTAAAACTCTGAAAACAATCATATGTTAATAAGCTAATGGGAAACAATGCAATGCAACCTTTGTGCAGTGTTCATGCCATTGAAGCATGATTTTCATCTTGAGGCTCTCCTCAAGCATTTGTATCTGAGAGATTGTGTTCTCCTTAAACCGCTTTCAACTGCGTTTCTCATGCAAATTCAAAATGAACAGAACCAGGAGAAAATTGAATACAGTAACAACAATATTGTTTTAAGAATGACTTTGAGTGAATAAGTCATTTTAATATTATAGACATCCAAATTAATTATAAAGGATATATGAAGAAAGATACTATCTGCATCCAGAGAAAGAACTGATATATAGATGTATAGAATAATTTTACATACATACATACATATGTGTGTGTGTTTGTAAATACCTATTTGACAATAGGAGCCATCTGGGGTGGGGAGGGAAGAAAAAAAGAAGAAAAGAAAAAAGAAATAAGAAATTTACATAATTTTATTATATATTTATAGCAAGTTATACATAATAGACTTGCAGTTTAATGTGCACTCTTTTCTATTATACTATGTTATGGAAAAGTTTATTTTATTCCATAAATTAAAAATAAAATTAAATAAAATAAAAAATGTCTTTCCACCCCCTTTATAGTTAATAAAAACATCCGATATGAAAACGGCAATCTCTTACACAAAGCAGCTTTAGAGGAGAAGGCAGCAGCTGGGAGAGCTAGATGGTTCCCTCATACATGAGATGCTCTTTCTCCTCATCTCTGCCTCCTGGCTTCCTATAGGAAGCCTTTCCCAATCCCTCTTTATTCTTATGCCTTCTCTCTGTTCATCCCATACACAGTTTATTTGTACAGAGCTGTTTGCAGGCTGATTCCTCCATTAGATTGTCTGCTCCTCAAAAGCAGGGATAGTCTTCTGCCTTGCTTTGTATATTCAGTGCTTAGCACAGTGCCTGGCTGATTTCAGGCCCTTAATAAATGCTTATTGGCTGACTAACTGGTGTTTGCCAACTCTTTCTCTGCTTTCTCAGATCTAGTTCAGGTCCACATTGGACCTCATGCCTAGAAGTGGTAAGATTCCTCCCTGATCTCCCTGATCCAATTCATTCTTCTCATGCCTTCAACAATAACCTTTCCCATAGTTTTCATTAACTCCCCAACTCAAGAAATTACTGTGGTTCTGTTTTAGTCCTTATCTAAACAAAACTCATCAACTTAATTTTCAAAGGCAAAGAGACCAATGAAGAAGCTATTATGGTAGTCCAGAAAAGGAAAATTAGGGCCTGAATTGGGGTTGTGACAGCATGATTAAAGAGTAGGGGACCTATGAAAGATGTGGACCCAACATGACTTGGACACTGACTGGATCTGGAAACAAATGGAGAGGGAAGAGTCAAGGATGATTCTGAAATTTGGAGTTTTGGAGGATGGTGGGCAATGCCACTCTAGAAATAGGGATGTTGGGAGAAGGGAAAGATTTTGAAACCAACATTAGTTTCAGATGTGTTAATTTTGAGATAGTGGAAGACTACACAGATGAAGATGCTGAACATAGAGTTGGAGATTCAGGAATGAAGCTAGGAAAGAGACTAGTATCCACGGTACTGGAGATCATCTATATAAAAGCAATAATGGAAAGAATCCTCTTCATGCTCTCTCCTTTCTAGTCAAACTGTCATGAGAGCCCTCTCCAGCCATTACCCAAGCTGTTCCCTTGCTTGGAAGGCAATTCCACTTCACTTTTGTCTTTCATCTTAGGCTTTCTACAAAGCACTGTTCAAGTACCACTTCTTACTTGATAACCCCAGTTATTAGCACTCTTTCCCTCTTGAAATGATTTTCATTTTATATATCCTTGTTATTTCCTTGTGTTCATATTATATCCCCCAAGTAGAATGTAAGTTCCTTAAGGGCAGGGACTTTTTAGCTTTTTGTCTCCAGGTCCTAGCACAGTGCCTAGAACACAGTAGACATTTAATAGTTTTTGGTAAACTAAATGGGAGTGGATGCAATTACCAAGGGAAAGAAAAGAGGGTTAAAGGCAGAATTTTTGAGGGACACTCATGGCTAGTTGGTAGGAGGAGTAATTAGCCAAAGATGAAACTGGTAGACATGTAAGAAAACCAGGAGAGAGCAGTGTTAGGAAAGTAAAGGGAGAAGAGGGCACCAAGAAGAAAGGAGAGGTTGGTGCTAACAGTACAGGCAATATTATCAGCCAATTTGCTTGAAATAGAGGGTGCAAATAAGAGTGAGGTGGGAGATGAGGCAGGAAAGGTATTTTAAAGCCATATTTTGGAGTGCCTTGGACATGAAGCTATGGAGTTTGGACTTAATTCTGTAAGATGTAGAGATATTGGACTTCTTAATGCAGGAGAGTTTCATGCACAAACCTGGTTTTTGAATAATCTGGAAGTGGTGATTAGGATAAATTGGACTGGGAGACTCCAGGCTGGGAGACCAATTAGGAGACTATTGAAACAGTTCACATTCAAGGTAATTAACAGTAATAGAATGGATAGGAATAGTAGAAAAGGGAGGAATGGATGAAAGAAACATTACAATGGAATCAACAATACTTAGATAATTGGAGATGAGGCGTAGGGGAGCAGACTAAAGTAAGAGAAAGAGTCAAAGATGGCTCCAAGCTTTCAAATATTGGTAACTGTGAGAATAGGTAGGGCCACTGAGAAATAGAGAGTCCAGAGGGGAAGTTTGTTTTGGGAGGAAAGATGAATGGAATTCCATTTCATAAAGGTTGATTTCTTGATGATATTGGAACAATCCAAATCAAAATTTCCAGAAGGCAGCTGGAGATGCTGCAGTGTAATTCAGGAAGAAAATCAGGGCAACAAAGGTAAATAAGAGGATTATCAAGAAGAGGTAGTTGAAATCATGAACTTGGATGAGACCACCACAGGGAAAGAACATATAGAGAAAGTCTGTAGCAGATGCCTGAGTCTTGGACTAAATGAATTCAGGGAGGAATGGGGGGAAAATGAAGCCAGGGAATCCAAAGAAGTAGAAAGAGAACCAAAACAGTGATTTTGAGAAACCACAAAAAGAGAAACCAAAGGAAGAGAAGGAAGGGAGAGTTAATAGTTTTTTTTTTTTTTTAAACAGCAGGATGGTCAACAAAGAGCACTAAGAAAAAGGCCACTTGATTTGGCAATAAGCAAGGTGGTTGGTGACCTTGGAGAGGGCAATTTCAATAGGGTTGGAACAAGAAGCCAGACTTCAAGGGGATGAAGGTAGAATGTGTTAAGAAAATTAGAAAGAGCCCCAAGTACAAAACATTCTTTTTAAAGAAAGTTTGTGGTAAATAAAAATATGTGTCATATATCCCTTTAAGGCTTACAAATTGCTTCCCACCCATTTATCAAAGGGGGTAGAATAACAGGATGGAGCCTTAGTGTGATAAGTAGCACCAAGTGAAAATATATCCAAGATAAGGGAGACACCAGCAAGTTTAGGGCGGAGAGAAAGGATTCAATGGGGAGGAATACTTCTTTGGAGAAAGGTTTTAAATTGTTTTGAGTACTTGGTTTAGGCAATTAGGTTGTGAGCTTCTCAAAGACTGATTATATTTTTATACATACTACATTCTTCTACTGTACCTAAGACAATGTTGTGCACATAGGAGACACGAAATATTTAACAAAATAAAAGTTGGATGACTAGAAGGCACTTTTCCTTACCCAAGAACTTGGAAGGAAAAAAAAAAGCAAAAACTCTTTACCTATTTCCTATCTCTGGCACGACCAGTTTTACAAGTAAAAACTACTCACGATGATCCTTCTCCGGCCAGCAAAAGCTACCAGTACAGGATGCAGTTCGGGGAGCCAAAGAAACAGTACCCAGCGCCAAGTGCAACGCCCAAGTGGATTCCGGGCTGCCGGAACACAAAAGGACCAGGAAAAGGAAGGAAGCTAGGGAATTCTGACAATCCAGAGAGCTCACACTTAGGGGCAAAAGTGAGGGCAAGAGTGTGCCCTTCATTAGTACGGTCAAATTATGACGACCTCTGTACTTCAAGGGCAAACCCTACTGAGTGCCTCTCCTCTCCCGGGATCCACGCGGTTGGAAGCCTGGTGCAGGAGCCGTGCGGGGGCACTCCATAGAGGGAGAAACCTGCCATCCCGGAACCGAGGGAACTTCCTACCAAGCTCCCCTCCACCGGAGGACTACAATATCAATCTGTCAATTGATACCCTTGGGACAGTAACTACCGGAGGAAGAGAGGAGAGCTGGCGTGCGCCACAAATGAAGGTTTGGTCCCCCGGCTCCCCAACCCCACCCTGCTAGCAGCAGAACCACGGGACCTTCAGCTGAGAGAAGGGCCTCCTCTCTTTTCAAAGCCGTAGTAAAAAGTGGGTCTCATCCTGGTGCAGGGACCCCATTCCTATTCACCCCGAAACCCAGGCATTTCAATCCCAGGGCACCTGGATTCTCAGAGCTTCCAGGTTCCTCCAGATCACTCTGTTCACCTCTCCTCCCTCTCCTCGCCCAGGTCCCAAATCTTGGAGGGAGATTCCGCTCCCGAAGAAAGTTCATTTCCTACCCAAAGGAGAGTAGCACTCACTGGCTGGCGCTGGGTGGAGCGGAGCAGGGCACAGAAGAGAAGACGCCGGGGTCGAGCGCTAGTCTTGGGAACCGAGGCAGAGCCGGAGAGAAGCGCAGCGGAGCGCACACTACAGGATTTAAGGGAGTTGCTCAGCCGACCTCCACACAGCGGCCCCTGCCGCCCTCACAGAGGACCAGTGAGAGAGGGGGAAAAAAAAAAAAGAAAGAACAAGAAAAAGGGGGAGGAGAAAAACCAGTTAAGGGAGTCACTTGCCCTGCCCTCCCTCCCACCCCTGGAGCGTGACAACTGGGGCGGTGCAGCCCAGCCCAGCCTGCCGGGGCGCGGCCAGGTACCGGGTGAGAGAAAGAGAGAGAGAGACCTCGTGGGGGCCCCAGCTCCAAAGGGAACAGGCAGAGAGCGGGGCCTCTGGCAGGCCTTCAGCGAGACGGCTGCAGCCAAGGAATATCGACAACCTTCCTGGAACTTGAAGTCAAATCGCTCACATTTCCCAGAACAGAACTGTGCGGAGCAGGGAACAAACAGCTTCTGTTTAAGATATTCTAGGTTATGTGTTAATAATATTTCTCCTGATCGATTTATGTATTCATTTGTTTTGAACTAAAATGCCACCACTTGAGATCTTCTTGGTGCTTATAGCCATCCCTTGTAAATGTGAACGACCTCAGATGTACAGTGTAGGGGAATGTGAAATGGAAAAGATCTGGCTGGATCCATTCACTTATTCAGCATCTACTATGTGCCAGGTTCTTTGCTAGGCCTGAGACTACAAACAGAAAATAATACTGCTTTCAAGAGGCTTATACTCTAAAGGGGGAAGCATACATGAAAATAACCAGGTAATATAATATCTAGATCTAAATCTATAGCTATATTGATAGATCACAATATAGCCACAAATAGGTCTATAGATCTATACCATAGATTATAGCCATAGCTCAATAGATGGATAGATACAACAGATATAAATACAGATATAGAATGCACCTAGTTATTTTCATGATGGATTCCCCCTTTATAATAAAGGTAAGTTTATAGATATAGATGTAGATATAGAGATGTATAGATATAGATAGTATATGGGAGACACTAGCAGTTGTCTGAGAGGAACTGGGAGAGGTCTACTGATGACTGTGAGATTTGATCTGAGTCTTGAAGGAAGCCTGTGAAACTCAAAGGAAGAGGTGAAGAGGAGAAGCATTCCAGGCGGGACCGCCAGTACCAAGGCTTACAGAGAAACAGGTGGAGCTGAAGTGGGAGAAGCAGTAAGAAAGTCAGCATAGATGGATCCTAGAGTGCTTGAAGGACAGAGTAAAGTGTAACAAGATTGTAAAGGTAGAAAGGTTCCAGGTCATAAAGAGTATCTTTTAATTTTTTAAAATAGATTTTACTGATACCTTTTGTTTTTTACATTACCTAAATTTTTCCCTTATATTTTATATTTTCCCTCTCCCTCTCCCAACCACACATCCATCTCATATAACATAAATTTTTTTTTAAAGAAAAAGAGGAAGAAAAGAAAAAAATCAGCAAAACTAATGAATAATTTTTTTTCATAATGTAACTATACGTAATGCTCTGTACTCTTGGGCCCCTTACTCTGCCGGTGAGTTAGGGGAAGGTGTATTCTTATACTTCTTCTTCTAGCTCTGCTCCTTTGCAGTCTTATAACATTCATTTTCATTTCTCTTGCAGTTTGTTTTTCTTTCTATTTATATTGTTGTAATGGAAGTTGAGAGAGTACAGGACCTGGAGTCAGGAAGATTCATCTTCCTGAGTTCAAATCTGGCCACAGACACTTCCTAGCTATATGACCCTGGGCAAATAATTTTATCCGGTTTGCCTCAGTTTCCTCATCTGTAAAATGATCTGGAGAAGGAATGGCAAACCACTTCAGTATCTTTGCCAAGAAAATCCCAGATGGGGTCACAAAGAGTTGACACAACTAAACAACAACAACAACAGCAAATTATTGGATATATTGTTTCCTGACTCTGCTTATTTGACTTTGTTATGAAGATCTCTAAATGCCAAATTTAGGAATTTAGGTGTCATCATAGAGGTAATAGGGCACTCCTGGAGTTTATTGGAGGGAAGAGGGGTACCATGGTCAGACCAAAGTTTTTTAAAAAGTCACTTTAGCAGCTAAATGAAGAATGGATTGGGTTGGGAACAGAGCCTTGAAGTAGTGGGGAGGGGTCAGTTATGAGGTAATAGTACACAAAAGGGTGATGAGGGCCTGAATTCAGGTGGTAGCTCTGTGAATGAAAAGAATAGAACACATAAAAGAAATGATATGAAGGTAGAAATGACAAAATTTCATGATAGACTGAATATGTGATATGAATGAGAGTGAGGTCTCAAGGATGACGTGAAAATTGCAAGCCTGGGTGACTGAGAAAATAGTAGTGCCCCCAATAGGTGTTTTAAAAGTTTCAAAGAAGGGAGGGTTTTGAGGGAAAAAAATGTTGAGTTCTATTTTGGACATATTTGTTTTTGTGATACCTGAAATATATCCAATCAAAGGCATTTGGTGATGCAGAACGGTGCACCCATAAGAACTAATGAGATCATCAAGTGACATAGTATAAAGGAAAAAGAGAAAGAGGGCTTAGGACAGAGCCATGGGGACTACCATGGTTAGAGGGCATGATGGATAAAGAACCAATAAAGGATATTGAGAAGGAGCAGTTAGAAAGAGAAGAAGGAGAGAGTAGTGTCCCAAAACTTGGAGGCAAGAGTATCCAGCCAGAGGTGATCAGTAATATCAAAAGCTGCAGAGAGGTCAAGAAGAATTGAGAAAAGGCTATTAGATTTGGCAAATAAGAGCTTTTTTAAAAATTTTGGCGCAGTGGATAGAGCCCCGGCCCTGAAGTCAGGAGGACCTGAGTTCAAATCCGGCCTCAGAGCAAACACTTGACACGTACTAGCTGTGTGACCTTGGGCAAGTCACTTAACCCCAATTGCCTCACTAAAAAAAAAAAAAATTTTGGAGAGGGGCAGCTAGGTGGCACAGTAGATAGAGCACCGGCCCTGAAGTCAGGAGGACCAAAGTTCAGATCAGGCCTCAGACTACCCACTTGTCACTTACTAGCTGTGTGACCCTGGGCAAGTCACTTAACCCCAATTGCCTAAAAAAAAAAAAAAATTAGAGAAAGCAATTTCAGTTGAATGGTGAAACCAGAAGCCAAATTGTGGAGGGTTTAAAAAGAAAGTGAGAGGCAGCTAGATGGCGAAGAGGATAGAGCACCAGCCCTGGATTCAGGAGGACCTGAGTTGAAATCTGGCCTCAGACACATAACACTTACTAGCTGTGTGACCCTGGGCAAGCCACTTAATCTTATTGCCAAGCCAAAAAAAAGAAGAAGAAGAAGAAAGCGGGAAGACAAGAAATAGAGGCCACTTGGCATAGATGATTTTCTATTTAGTCACAAAGTGGAGGAAAACAATAGAACCATGGCTGGCAAAGATAGTTGGATCAAGAAAGGTTTTGTTTGTTTGTTTGTTTGTTTGTTGTAAGCTAGGGGAGACATGGATATGTTTATAGACAGGAGGAAAGGAGTAAGAAGATAGGGAGAGATTAAAAATAAGACTGAGGATGATAATGAGAAAATGGGATAGAATGGAATCAAAGGTACAAGAAGGTTTGGTCTAGGCAAGGAAGAAAGGGCCACTTCCTCCTTCCCTCGTTTTTTATTTACAACACATCTTTTGACTATCTGGGCCCCTTGGCATAAGATCAGCCAGTAAGTACCTTTAAATCATAATGAGAACTGGAAAGTACCTTGGAAATCAGCTCCCTTGTTTTATGGATAGAGGAAACTGGACACTAGAGGCTAGCAGCCTCAAGTGACTTCCCCATAGTAATAAGAATCTTCTTTGATCCCCTTAGCTTTCTTAGAAACATGTTCTGAAGAGTTTATTATCATTTGGAGGGAGTCCCCTTTAGCAATCTGAATCATTGTTGATGACATTTACCTTGGGGCCTGTCAAAATACTTGCTTGAGAAATATAGATAAAAGTGAATAAACCTCTCCTCTTAATGATTATAGTACTTGGCCTATACACTTTACATGATTACAATGATTATAGTCCTTCATGATTATAGTACTTGGTCGTAACACTTCACATGTGCTAGCTTTTTACCTGTGTATGTACATGTACATATACCTATATGTAGGACATATACATATATGTATACATATGTGTATATGTGTGTTTGTGCTGCTCTATACCCATGGTTCTCTTACCTCTGCAAAGGAGTTGGGGGAAGAGATATTCTCATTTTTTTTTCTTTAGGTTATGCTTGGTCATAATTTCTCAACATTCACTTCTGTGTGTTTTGTGATTTTTTTTTTGTTCTATTTACCTTGTCATAATCATTATTTTCCTGGCTCTGCTTACTTCACTTTTTTAGGATAAACTTTAAGTGTCAAATGAAGAGTTTAAATGTGATTCAAGAGATATTGGAGAGCTCCTGGAATTTGTCCAGTGGTTGGGGTGGGGCAAGACTTTAGAGAAGTCACTTGAGCAGCTAGATGAAGGATAAACCTTGAGATAAAGAAACCAATTAGAAGGCTATTGTAATAGTCCAAGCAAGAGGTAATGAGTCCCTGAACTAGGGCAGTAGCTTTGTGAATGGAGACCATACACTATATTACGTCTTGGGGTTACATACAGAGTATGTTATGTACATACCACTAGCATGGAGCAAATGGAAGCTAGTGACTTTATGAGAAATCAAGACATTGTAAAACAAATCCAAAGAATGAAAAAATAGAAAACAATGTGAAATATCTCATTGGAAAAACAACTGACCTGGAAAATAGATCTAGGAGAGATCATTTAAAAATTATTAGACTAACTGAAAGTCATGCACTGCACCAAAAAAAAAAAAAAAAAAAAGCCTAGACATCATCTTTCAAGAAATTATCAAGGAAAACTGCCCTGGTATTCTAGAACCAGAGGGTAAAATAGAAATGGAAAGAATCCACACATCACCTCCTGAAAGACATCCCCAAAGGAAAACTCCTAGGAATATTGTAGCCAAACTCCAGAGTTCCCAGGTCAAGGACAAAATATTGCAAGCAGCCAGAAAAAAACAATGCAAGTATTGTGGAAACACAATCAGGATAACACAGGATTTATCAGCTTTTACATTAAGGGTCCAGAGGGTTTGGAATATGATATTCCAGAGGCCAAAGGAGATAGGATTACAACCAAGAATCACCTACCCATGGATATTCAGTGAAATAGAGGACTTTCAAGCATTCTTGATGAAAAGA